ATGAATGTAATAAAATAAAGATATTTCTGTATTTGTGCAGCACAGAAGTTTTAATAGTCCTTAAAAAGGTTAAAAAAACAACCGAAAAACTACTACCAGAATTAACCCAAAATGAATTACCTGCTTCATATAGGTATTTTGGGAGTTGCGTTGTTTTACCACTTCCTGTATTTCCAGTAACAATAAGGAATGAATTGTCCCTCACAGCCTGAATAAGTTTTTTTCTTTGTTTCTGAATAGGAAAAGTTGGAGTAGTTCCTCCTTCTTGTGACGTGCATCCTTTCTCTTCTGTGATAACACAAAAACAATTATGCAACTAAAAGACCTGTAAAGACAATTTTGACTCAATTTTCCAGAAGTGAAAAGAGAAAAATACAATTCTAAGATGGGAAGGTCTGAACTCATGACTATTCATTTACACCATTTATGTCAAATTCTTAAGTGAGTTTTAGAAGCCCTGAACAACTTTCTGGTGAAATCTGAAAACTTGAACATTTGTTAATGCATGACTTAGGCTACCTGACTACATAGGCCTTGCACAACACAACATACATGTTTACAAAGAAGCCCCATATCCACATAGTTATACTAAACAATAGACTAAAAACTGAAACAAAACCAGAAAACTCTCAGCTGAATTACAAACCACTTGTGTTTTCTTCTGATTCATGTTAGGTTCAAGTTAGGTCTCTGTTCAAAGTGACTGATATCCCAGAAGGCCAAGTGGTAGGTAACCATGGAAACTGGCTCCTGGAAACTGGCTCCCTTCAAACCATACCCAAAGGCAGGCTGGCAGCCCAACGAGGGGGAGGGGGTGTGTGTGGGTAGAGAACAAAGGCTTTATGAGTCTGTTTAAGAGCATAACGTATCTAGCCATTGGGGTTCACTTTTTTGCCCCCCAGCAAGGTTTTCACTCCACTTGAGCCTAGAACAGCCTCCCTCTAAGCCAACGTGCTCACTGGACGCAAAGTTTGCCTCAGGCTTGAAGGGCAAGGAGTACGCTATGTTTTCCTCTCTGCTCTTCTCTTTCAACCAAAGGCGGACTTTTAAACCCCCAAACCCTCCACGCCGTAACTCTCACTGGTTTCTTTAGCGTCCACCAGACCGCACCTCTGTCAACGATGGAAACAGCTGAGGCTCGCTCTTCCTGGAAGTCTCTTGACCGCTCACCTTCCTCCTGCCGCCTTGGCGCCCTGCCCGCGACGGCGGGAAACCGGGACATAGACCTGGCCCGGAGCAAAGAGAGCACGTCCACCGATCTGGGATGATGGGAGGGGAAAAGAGAAGACGCTTCCTGATGACGTTGGAGTGTTTACTTCCGCGCGTGCCACTCGTAGAGAGGGGAGGGGAAGCTGCTCCCTGACGTGATGTGTGGTGGCCGGAAATCCCTTCTACTCCGGTCCTACCTTTGAGGCCGGGCAGCCTGCCTAAGCCCCACCCCCAGGGATTTCAGGCTTATTGTGCACTCACAGCCTTGAGGCTTGAAGATGTCTCCAAGGGCTCAAAGGCGTCCTTTTGGTTCTATTCTTGTGCATAGAAAGCTCAGCAACACTCCAATACTTAAACACAATGGTCTCTACTGCCAATTCTGCCTTCACACATTTGGCAGACTTTACCAGTCATTGGGGAATCCTGGTGTGCTGTTGTGGACTAATGCGCCAGACTGCAAAGCCATTTGAACTGCAAGGTTGGTGGTTCAAGCTCACCAGCTACTCCTCGGAAACCCTATACAGGGTCGCTATGGGTTGGAACCCACTCAACGGAGTACCATTACCACATCTCATTCTCATCTTACCCATCTTGAAATGACGCCGTGGCACACAGCTACTAAACCGAACTTAAATTTTTGTGGTGTCCAAAATATAAGTTCCTCGTGTTCATTTTCTTCAAGGACATTGCCTTTTCATTTCACTGCATACTTATTCTTCCTTTCACAAAACTAGACAGTAAATCCCCATAGGGCAGCAACTGTACACCCAGCTCCCAGCACCATGATTCATGGTTGTTGTTGTTGTTAGTGCTGTACAGTTTGTTTCAACTCCTAGATACCCTGCATAAGGTTTCCAAGGAGGGGTTGGTGGGTTTGAACTGCTGACATTGCGGCTAGCAATCCAGTGCTTATCCCACAGCACCAAACCAAGACTCCAGGAGTCCTTGAGAACCACCAACATCTGTTGAATTTGATAAGTAGGTGAAAGGATGAATGAATGATCGCCAAAGGAATTAAGCCTACTTTTAATGGATTTGGATTTCTTAGAAACCAAAATAGCTGAAAAGATTATACCGATATATACAATAAGGACCGGGGTGACTTTTTCAGATAAGTACTTTGGGGAGCAGATTTTTCTGTTCTGTTGTTGTTGTTGTTAAGTGCTGTCAAGTTGTTGTGACTAATAGTGACCCTGTCTGTGTAGGATTTCTGAGGAGGAGGATTTCTAAGTTGTGGCTGGTTGGTTTGAACCGCTGACCTTGTGGTTTATCCCACAGCGCCACACCAGGAATTTTCTTTCTGTAATTGTTGTTGTTGTTAAGGGCTTTAGAGACTCTGTATATGGTTTCCAAGGAGCAGCTGGTGAGTTTGAACTACTGACCTTGCGGTTCAAACCGACTTTGCAGTCCAGTACTTTACCCCACAGCGTCACATCAGGATCTGCCAATTTTAAAAATATGTCAGCTGTGACAAAATAATGCAATGTGGCGATTGTTCCTTGGTCTTCTTAACCATTCCTACTGTTAGAAATAACCAAAAAAGACAACTGAAAGCTGTAACTTCTCCATCAACTAAAGATCCCTTCTCTTCTATCTGACCAGACTTCAAAAAATACACGTAATGTTGTTGGACCACAAGAATTTTTATGCACTTGTATTGACTCTTTTTATAATGGATCTCATCAACAACTCCTTCAACGTAAGTTTAAAATTCTTTGAATGATACCAATGAGTACTATTCTAACAGTTTATTTCGAAACACTGGAACTACTGGTAAAAGGAAAACATCTAAATATTCTCATGTATGTTGAGAGAATTTTCTAACTTCTTGGATTATGTTAGTACAAAAATATGTGGCACACCAACCATTCTTCCCATAACAATCTCTACTCCAGTGGGTTCAGTAATTCATTGCAATGACTGCACAAAATTAAAAGACAATACTCACAATTCTGAGGTTTATTAGGGAAGTTAGCAAATTACAATACAGGATCAGAAAATGCTCAGAGCACAGTTGTTCCAGTCAGTGCCATCATAAGCCTCTGCCTGAAGGCCTTCGGCTCTAGCTCCATGGGTCAGCAAACTTGCTTCCCCATTGAAGTGCCTGGAGACACCCCACTCTACAAGTAAGCTTCATGCCCAAAGTCACCATGCTTTACTTGCTCCACGGACTGGGAAGTCCACTGCTCTGTCTTATGCTCTGGTTCTTGGTTCTGCTGCTGCTCTTCCTCTGGTGTCACAGCTTCATGTCCCTGGACTGACAAGGTTCAATGCACAGGGATATTGGGGGTCCAAAGGACATGCTCCTCTCCTGGCTCTCCTCTTTGTTGGTAGTGAGATCCCTCCTCCTGCTTCTGAGATGGTTTATTTTATACCCACGTTACAGGTTCAAGTTTTTACAATTATAATGAATTTTCTAACACTCACAGCTGAATCATGTCATCCTATCAGTATCTTCTCCCACCTTCTCTTACCCAGACCCAGCAGGGCAGAAAAGTTGTTTGGTGGGAGTTACAGACTATGGCTAGAACAGACAGTAGATAATTCACACCACAGTTAGAAATTCAAAATATTATATATAAGAAAGACCAAAAAAATTATGAAAGAAAAAAAATTGTATAATAGGTGAGATATTAGTGACCTTGGTAAATATTCTGATACTAGGCAGCTACTGAGCAAAGATGTCAATTTGAGGACTAAGGTGTGCCTGACCCAAGCCATGGTATTTTCAAAAACCTCATATGCATGTGAAAGCTGGACAGTGAATAAGGAAGACTGTAGTAGAATTGATGCTTTTGAGTTATGGTGTTGGAGGAGAATATTGAAAGTGCCACGGGCTGCTGAAAGAACCAACAGATCTGTGTTGGAAGAAGTGCAGCCAGAGTGCTCCTTGGAGGACAGGATGACCAAACTTTGTCTCCCATACTTCGGATATACTGTCAGAAGGGACCAGTCACTGGAGACGAATATCATGTTTGGTAAGGTGGAGGGTCAGAGAGAAAGAGGAAGACCCCCAATAAGATGGATTGGCTAAATGGCAGCATCAATGAACTCAAGCATGGCAACAGTAGTGAGGTTGGCCCAGGATTGGGCAGTGTTTCGTTCTGTTGTGCATAGGGTCCTATGAGTCAGTACCAACTCAATGACACCTAACAACAACAACAACAACAAAGCAGCTATAGCAGTGATAAAGTCATTTTCTAATAAAGTGAACAGAATTTTCAAGCCTAGTAATATTATTTATTGAATATTTAGTAGTCAAACATTTAATTTGAATGATTTCATTTATTCTTCACAACAACCCTGGAAGGTAGGATATTATTATCACTTATTTTCACATATGAGAATCAAGACTCATTGTGATATTGAAGGTGTTGTGTTAACTTGACTGGGCCAGGATTCTCCCTGGTTTGGCAGTTAAGATGTAGCTGTCCCGCGTGATGGGATTTGAGGTGATAAACCAATAAGTGGAGTAAGGGTGGGATTGTTGCTGTTGTAAAGTGCCCACTTATAGGGAGCCCCTGCTAACTTTTTGCTTAATAGTCCTGGGCTTATCCTACAGCACCACATCTAAACTCCACCTTTAATCCTACCACCACCCTGATCCAGTTCCCAAGGGCCCACTGGACCTTTAATGTTACACCTTTTCTCTTATAAGAGATAAAAGGACAAAGTCTTGAGCAGAGAAAGGGGGGACCCACTACCACCAAGAAAGAAGAGCCAGGAGTGGAGTGTATCCTTTGACTTGGGGTCCCTGCAGTGTGAAGCACCTAGATCCAGGGCAAGACTGATGTCAAGAAGTATGGAGATCTCCAAAGAAACTGGGTCTATAGATGCTGAAAGGAGACAAGGACCTTTCCCCAGAGTCAACAAGGAGAAAGCCTTCCCAGGAGCCAGCGATCAGAATTTGCACTTCTAGTCTCCTAAACTGTGAGAGAATCAATTTCTGGTTGTTAAAGCCACACAATTGTGCTATTTCTGTTATAGCAGCATCAGACGATGAACACACTCAGAAACGTGTTCAAAATGACAAAGCAAGGAAGTAACAAGTCTAGGCTTCAAATTCTCATGCGTAACTCCTACGCTGTAATGGGAAACAGGATTATCTAGATCTTGGTGCCTAAATACTATATAATCTTCCAATGTTTGGACATTAACTACTATAGGGCTGACTCCATGCTTGTATGGGAACCATCTCATAAGAGTATTTGAGAATAAAAAAATTCTAAGCAAAGAATGAAGAAAATTAAGTGAAAAATTCAGCAATTGTTTAACATTGTTCATTTTAAAGCCAAAGGTGTTTAAAACATGTTACCATTTAAAGCTAATATCCTGGTGTGGCGCTCTGTGTGGGTTTATGCACGGGACTGCAAACTTGGTTTGAATCACAAAGTTGGCAGTTCAAGCTCACCAGCCACTCTTCGGAAATTGCTATGGGTCGAAACCGACTCCATGGCACTTAACAACAAACTTGCCTGTCAGTTTGTTGTATTGTGGCAGCTTGCTTGTGGCTGTGATTTTGGAAGCTATGCCATTGGTATTTCAAATACTAGCAGGGTCACCCGTGGTGGACAAGTTTTAGCAGAGCTTCTAGACTAAGGTAGACTAGGAAGAAAGGCCTGGTGATCTCTTCTAAAAAAGTGGCCTGCGAAAGGCTTCTGAATAGCAGCGGGACATTATCTGATTTAATACCAGTAAATAAACCCCTCAGTTTGTAAGGTACTCAAAAATATAACTGCTTCCTCAAAGTAGAGTCAACCTTAATAACATGGATAGAGTAAACCTTCTGAGACTATCATTTGCTGATGTCGCACAGCTCCAAATGAGAGGAAACAGCTGCAAACATTCACTAATAGTCAGGATCTGGAATACATGAAGTATGAATTTAGGAAAATTGGAAGTTTTCAAAAATGAAATGGAACACTTCAAGATTGGTATCTAATCATTACTGACCTGAAATGGATGGTATTGGCCATTTTGGATCAATCATAATGTCTGCAATGCCAGGGATGACAGATTGAAGAGGAACAGCATCTTGTTTATTGTCAAAAAGAACATTTCAAGAT